GAAATGAACCGTTGTAGGAGCCTATGAAGGGGTAGCTTCAAGGTTCATTCCAACATCGTTGATGACTCTTGGGTTTACACTGGTCCTCCACATCCTCCTCGTCATCATCATCATCACCACCACCATAACCTCCACCATCACCAGCACCAACATCACCATCAACATCAGGATCACCATCACCATCATCATCACAATCATCCTCAGAATCAACACCATCACCACCGTCATCATCATCACCATCATCATCACCATCATAATCATCACCATCATCATAATCACCATCACTATCACCATCACCACCACCACCACAACCACCATCACCATCACGATCACCATCACCATCACCATCGCCGTCACAGTCACCATCACCGTCATCATGACCGTCACCATCACCATCACCACCAGAACCGCCAGCATCGTCATCATCACAACCACCACCACCATCATTATCATCCCAGGGGCGGCGTTCTGGCACGATTCCAGATCGTCAAGACACAACAGTGACGGTGATTCGCGGCGTTGAAGTCCCAGGGGTGGCGTTCTGGCACATTTCTTCTAGATTTTCGAACGGTGGTCGTCCAACGGGACATTTCCTCTGTGCAAATGAACCCGTGTAGTATCCCACCCCCCACTGCAAAAAGCAACTGGTTTTTTTCTACACACCTCCCCCCCACCACCACCCCAAATTTCAATGTTCAACGCGGTGCCGATATTTTTTCGAACTTCGCCGGTCGCGCGATCACCATTGAAATGGGGGGGCGGTGGGCTCACAAGCACCGTGCGAAAATCAACTGGTGTTTGGTGAACTCCCCGGCCCCCCATTTCAATGTTGATCGCGCGACCTGCGAAGTTCGAAAAAAAACGGCACCGCATTGAACATTGAAATTGAGGGGGAGGTGTGTAGAAAAACACTATTTGTTTTTTTGCACAGGGGGGGTATGAAGAAGGAATGTGGACGGAGGAATATCGTTGGCGAATTTCGGGTTTGATGTGGTCCTCGTCCTCCTCCTCCTCATGTTCATCCTCCTCATCCTGCTCACTCTCCCTCCTCCTCCTCCTCCTCTGCTTCCTTTTCCTCCTAATCCTGCTCATCATCATCGCCGTAATCAGCAACACCAAGCTCACCGTCACCACCATCATCATCACCACCATGAACACCATCATCGTCATCATCTTCATCCTCAACATCATCATTATTATCATCATCTGCATCATCATCACCATCACCGTCATAAGAGTCAGCATCACCATCAGCAAGATCAGCATCACTGTCAAAACCAGCAGCTGTTGCAACAACAGCGGCCTCATCATCAGCATAACCAGCAACATCACAGTCGTCATCATCGCCATCATCATCATCAGCATCATCACCACCACACACCTCATCATCAGAATCGTCATCATCACAATGACCATCATTATCACCATCCATATCACCCACTTCCTTCTTTCTATATTCCCCTCCTCCTCCTTCCCCTCCCACCAAACACCACACTACCACATGACCCCATCATCAACACCAGCATCAGCTTCACCGTCAACAACATCACCACCAACACGATCAAAATCGTCATCCGACTCACCATCATAACTGCCACCATCATCATCACCAACAACAATATCAGCTTCATCATTGTCGTCATTATCGCCCTCACCATCGCCATCGCCATCATCACCACCAGCAGCACTTCCTTTATGATCGTCAACATCGCCACCATCATCATCCATGACACAATAATCATCATTCGCCACCATCACCATCATCAACATCATCAACATCATCGCCAGCAATACTATCCCCATAATTGTGGCGATCGCCGCCGTCACCCCTACCATCAGCACCACCACGGTCATCATCATAATCAGCATCATCAACATCATCGTCATCATCATCCTCATCATCAGCATGATCCTCATCATCCTCATCAGCAGACACGGTGGCGGGATGGGCTCGAGGTCATTTTCGCTCACGGTGCATAGCTGGGAAGGAAAACAAGCTCTCAAAATGTTGAAACACCTGTTTCCACCAATGTTTCCAAGCCCATTGGGCCGACCTTGCATTTGTTCAGCAATGATTCGTCCCCAAAGTATCCGAGCATTCCTCTTTTCAGCAACGCGCGCTCCTTGAGATGAGGGACACATGCATGTAACGAAACCCACCTCAGCTTGTGATGAAATATTACAATTCAGGCGCGCGAGAGAAAAACTTCTGTTCGGGCGACTCGCCACAGAGCGCCCGCCAGCAGGAAACAAATCACGGCAGCGCCGACGATGGGAACAGACACCCGGCCGCCAGCTGGAAGGCGACAGATGCGACGCGAGCGGCGCCGCTTCAGCGGGGGGGACAGCAGCGCCCCGGCTACAGCCGGGCGGTTGGGCCAAAATGGTTCCAGACGGGAGAGAAGGCGGAAGCGGGAGGGAGAGGCGCCTCACAGCTGGCGGGCGGGGCCGACATACAGGAAATGGACGACGGGGGGCGGGCGGCGGCGGCAGAGGCAAGCGGCACGGGTTCATCCTTTTCCGTTTCCGCCCCTCCTACCTTCCCCCCTTCACTACAGCATGCCCAATGTGGAGGGAGTTCCGCAGGCCCGCTGTAGTCGACGACGACGGCGACAGGTCGAAGACGGGACGACCGACGACGCGCACTGCAGATGCACCAGAGGGGTGGGGCGGTGTTGCGTAGGCGCGCCGTGAAAAATCCGCCGACCCTGTCGGCGTGTGGAAGAGGCTTCTCCGTCTGTTCCCTCTTCGTCGTCGTCGTCGTTCCTTCCCCTTTCCCCACAGCGTCGTTGCTTCTACCCCTCTCCCAGGGCCTCCTCCTGAAACGTGCCAGTCCAAAGCGAAATTGAGCAACGTCGTAATTGAGTCGAAGGGAAGCCCCTTCCCTTTGATCCCTTCCCCGCCGGGGGGGGGTTGTCCCGGGGTGGGTCCCAGGGGGGGTCCCGGGTTTTTACGCCGCCCCCCGGGGAATCCCGGAGCCCAAAAAAGCCCCAAGACGGGCCAAGAGTGCCCCAAGAGGCCCCCAAGACGATCCAAGAGGGCCCCGAATCGCCGAATGATCTGTCCAAGACGCCTTGACGGCCTCCAGACGGCCCAAGAGGCCTGCGAGACGCCCCGAGAGGCCTCCAGGACCGTTCCCACGAGAGCCCCAAGAGGCAAAATCATGGATTTCCCATACGTATTTCAAGAATTTTGGCGTTCTCGCCTCTTCCGCTTCCCCACGCGCCAAGACGGCCCAAGAGGCACCCAAGGTCGCCCCGAGACGGCCCAAGAGGCCTCCAAGAGAGTCCCCAAACGGCCCAAGAGTGCCCCAAGACGGCCCAAGACGCCTCCAAGACGGCACAAGAGGCCCCCAAGACGGTTCCAAGAGAGTGCCCAGACGGGGGACCCGAACGGACATTTCGAGCCCTCAGCCCCGAGAAGCTCCCAAGAGGCCCCCAGGAAGCCCAAAGAGGCCCCAAGAGGCTCCCAAGAGGCCCCCAAACATCCCCCCAGAGGCCCCCGAGAGCGCTCGGAAGAAACCCCAAGAAGCACGTTTGAGGACTCAACCCACGTCAGCATCGTCGTCGTCGCTACCGCCGCCGCCGCCTTCGTCGTTCCCCTTCAGGGTCGGCGGCACCGGCCGTAAGGCCTTTGCAATAATGACGACTACGACGATACAGAATCCCTGTTACAATGAGCAAATGAACAGCAATCGTTTTGAGGCTGCAGTGTACGGGGTGCACGCTCCTCTCGTCGGCGCCCGCGATGACCCCCAGCGTGTGTGATTCGAACCCCGCGGGGCCTGTCCACCAGCCGTGGGAGGGGGAAGGGTGGGCCACTTGTTAACCACAAGCTGACGGGGACCTGCGCGGGGAGGGACCTGGCACGGGAGGACGTATTGCAGCCTCCTCCTCCTCCTCCTCCTCCTCCTCCTCCTCCTCTTCCTCCTCGTCCTCCTCCTCCTCCTCCTCCTCCTCCTCCGCCTCCTCCTCCTCCTCCTCCTCCCCTCCTCCCTCCTCCTCCTCCTCCTCCTCCTCCTCCTCCTCCTCCTCCCCCTCCTCCTCCTCCTCCTCCTCCTCCTCCTCCTCCTCCTCCTCCTCCTGCTGCTCCTCCATCTCCTACACCCTCGAACGCAGGTACGATCGAACCATGGCAACAAGATCGTGGGTCAAGAACACGAGCCTCTCTGTGGAAGGCCTCAGGCCCCATATGGAGATACCCCAAACCAGGAACACCCCAAGGTGCAAAGCCAAAGCAAGAAGAACAGGAGAGTACACCTACAGAGCTAGGGCTGTTCTTGACCCTCGTGCCAACTGTATGGTTGGAGCCGAACCTGTGTTCGCAAGGTTGCCGTGAGATCAACATGCTAACAAGAAATGCCGCCGTGAGCACAAGCAGAACCTGAGTTCAGAACCAGAAGCAAACAAGGCAAACAATGGGTATCGCAGGAGTCAAGCAACGTTATCTGCACACCGCCTACAGCACCGTAACGTTGCATCCCAAACGGCCACACTGATGTTCTACTGAGCCATTTTTCGATAGCTCTGTTTAACCATGCTGTAAGCATCTCGCTGCTGCGCTGGCACGGTGGCGGAGTCTGCTGGCAGGACGGATGCATTGGAAAGAACTGGCGGCCTCTGTCAGAGCCACCAGCCACTGCCGTGCCACTGTATGTGAGGTGGCCAGAGTCGTCCCGAGGTGCACATTTCTGGACCACATCAGAACCCTACCCCTGAAGTTCAGACTTCTGACGCCCTCGCGGAGGGTCGGAATGTGAAAGAGGTCTGCAAGAGAAGGAACCCTGCAAGGGTAACCGGTGCCTTGGCGTCGGCTGGTCCCGCAGGGGTAGTGCTCGCCAGTGGTCGAAGACAATCCAATCAAAAAATGACCCATGCGCCAAATACTGCTTCGGGAATCAGCACGGGTGGGAAACGTGAAAGATATGACCTGCAAAATAAGCAGATCTCCGAACGACTAAGAGCAGTCTGCCCTGCGCAACCGTAAGCTGAGGATGGCACGTATTGAACTGTTTCGGCAAGAAGTCGGGTGACACGTCGCCCCAGGCTTTCACAGCAATCTGCAACGCAATGTCGCTCGCTGTCAACTCAGATGCGACTTCGTCGAAACCGTCTACGTTCACGTCCGCGGTCTCCTGAGGGGTCCAACCAACAAAGTTCAAGATGGGTTGCTACGCATCGAACTATGCCCTGCCTGCACACCACGTCTACCCAGATCCTCGTCATCTTATAATGTCCTCCGCGGGTCTAAACTGCGAGGGTGAACATCTACAAAACACGTGGAAATCCATACCATATACAAATCCTTGCAACGCTCAGGAGAACCAAGCTGGCGTTGGAATGGACATAAGCAAGTTTCCTTCGGCTACGTGGTTGCTTCGACTACGTGTTTGCGATGTCCACCGCTAATGCTTAATCGTGTCTTTCTCCCTGCGCCACCTCGAGGGCAGATGAACGCGTCGGTAGTCGTAAGCTGAATACAGTGCAACATGCATGCGCAGCACCCGCAGGGAGGAACATGAAAGACGGCGCTAGCCTGGGCTGGTGTTATGTTGTTCCAATCGTACTTAAGGACCACATCCCCGAAACAATTTCGAACACCCAGAACGCTGGCGTGACGCTGGCGAAATGTTCTCAAAAAACGCTAGGAAGTGTTCCGTTTCCAAGATCGAAGTTGTTTCTGTTTTAGAGGCAAGCGTGTTTCCGTATTGGGATTGCCGTGTGGTCGTGTTCGGTTCGTTTTGCGATTCGAGTTTGAATTGCGTTTACCTGCGGTTGCTTTCTGTTTTACGTTTCTGCTGCTTAGTTACGGTTTGGTTTAGCGTTGTTGTTCTCTTTTGGGTGCCGTTGTCCGCTGTTGTTGGAACCAGCGGGTGTCGTTGTTGTTGTTGTGGCTTGGGCTGCCATTGTTCATGCTGTTTTGTGGTTGACCGCAACACGGAAATTTGAAAACGGACAAAAAAAACAACAACGACAAAAACAAAAACAACAACCACAACAACAATAACCACAACAACAACAAATTCAAAATGTTTATCCATGAACAACTAAGCTCCCAGGGCCCGACGCGTGAAGACTTTCCCAGGGGTGTCGCCCTCCAGGGCCGTCCAGTTTCGGCACTTTCTCAGTGCCCGAAACTGACTTCTGGCTGCCAACGCAAAAACAGATTATGAGGCCGGTGGACATTGCAGAGGGACTGCCTCCTGTGGACCCGCGTGTAGGCCCCTCGTGGGGAGCCCCTCGCGGGGGCCAGCCGCGGCGCCACGACAGCCCCCACGAGCCGATGCGCGCCCAGGCGCACAGCAAGACCGCTCGGGCACCGCCCCCGCACTTCCCGGGCGTCCTGAGGCTTGTTTGAACGGACCTGAGGTGGCACAGTGTGCGGGTCCCGCCCCCAGAAGATGTCTGCGTGTTCAGGACACGATGTAGTACTGCAGATCCACCCTGGACCGTGGAAAATTCCAGCCTGATTTCTTGAATGTCTGCGCGCACACACTTCCTCAGCATCACCCACATCAGCGCCATCGCATCACCACCGCTATCGCCGTCACCAATCGCCGCCATCACAAACACATGGACATCTTCACCGTCATCGTCGTCACCAGCCTCGACGCCGTCATTGGTCTTGCCGTGGTCACCGTCATCATCGCCACCGCCATCGCTACTATCATAATCGATGTCCCTGTTATCGACCGTCATCGTGACACCGCGCCCACCCGAGCCACCGACCCGCACTGAAGTGCCCCCCCGCCAGCGCGGCCTCTACGATGCGCTGGAAAGTTCCCATCGGCAAGCGACGTTACGGCCGCATCAGTTTGCCAAGCCAGCTGGCCACTCTGCGCGCGAGATTGCGCGCGCCAGCGCGGCCGCAGAGATGCGACAGGCAGGGCCAAGCAGTCACCGCAATCGCAGCCGCATGGATTTTGCAAAACAAGCTGCGGATGGGAGGGGGTGGAATGACTGCGCGAGCGCTGGAGTCGACAGCTCACTAGTGAACACGAGGCCAGTGCACCATAGAGCTTGCAGCACATAGCTTGGACCACATGGCTGTCACAACTCAGTTCACACCACAAACCTTGCACCGCATGGCTTGCACACCGCGCGAGGAGCGAGAGCGCTCACGCGCCGCCCCGCGCGGGCAGCTTGCGCGCCCATGCCGGCGCTGTCGGCCCCGCTCCGTGCACGTCGCTCGGGTGGCGGCCGCCTGCAGACACGGCGTGTGCGCAGGCTGTGGTTACACTGCCTGCACTTGTCGCCTGCGCATCAGAGTAGGGGAACAATTTTTGGTCTGCGGGTCGGGAGCGGGCCCCTTCTGGTCAAGAGCTAAATGGGACGCGGGTAGCCCTAATTGGGGAGACAGGGCGCGGGCGGGCGGGGCCTCAGGCGAAGAGTAGGGGAACAGGCAAGGACAGAAATATATCAAAATCTCTGAGGTCCTCGCAGATTTCTCGGATCGGCGCTGGAGCCCCCTCCCCGGCGCGCGGAGCGTGCCAGGAACGGCGCTGGAGGCGCCGCCAGGGGGCCCCAGCGCCGATCCGAGGAATCCGCGCAGATCTCCGAGTTTTGTATGTTTATGTCATTGCTCCTGCCCCAAAAGAATGACCCTCGGCAAGAGTGACCTTTGGTGCGTGACTTTCGGGGGCCGCCAGGGGGCCAGCTCCAGGCACGCAAGCCACTGCCGGGGGGACCCCTGTGGGCTCGCATTTCAGGTCACTCTGGCGAAGGGCCACTCTTACGCATGTCTGCACTGTCTGATGCCATAAATAGTTCTGCGAATTCTACCAGGTCCTTGGTGGTCACTAGGTTCACGGTTTACCGCTTGCTCCCAGTTCTGCATTACACAAGCGAATCGCTCTGCCTGAAAACTGCTCGCTCGGCCTACGCCTTGGCCCCCGCGCACACGCCACTCCCCCGAGGCGAAACAACAGGATCCCCAAATGACAAGCCCGAAAAAGTGCCAATGAAGGGCAACGACAGGAAATCACTGGCTTAGGAAGGGGAACATCAACCTAAAATCGGCGATAAATCGCCGATAGATAGACAAGAAGCCTCCGAAAGCGAAACCGCACGTTTCTGGGCGGGGTGGGCTATCGGGCCCCTGTCGGCGAGCCATGGGCGACCAGGAGTCGATGCACCCCCCCTGAGCCTGTCCCCCACTAGCGTTGTCCCAGATCCAAGAAGGCCCCTTAGAGGCCCCAGAAAAGACTCCGAGAATCTGCCAGCACGGCGCTGGGGTCTGCGGTTTGCGCTTAGGGCCTTTCGGTTATCTCCAGCAGTCGCCAGTGAAACCAGGATATCAGGGCCACAATGTGAGAAATGAACTTAAGGTCACTTGCACAAAAACCTATCACGCAGCATCCGCGAACATCTCTGAAGGATGCCATCCTGACCACTGACACCAACAACGTGCAATCACATCGCGTCCAAATCATGTCGATATGGGCTGGTGTGTCACGGTTGCTCTCGCATAGTTCACGCCCTTGCTGCCGACGGCAGATGTCAAGGCGATCAAAAAACATGAAAAGGGTCGGTGCGCGAACATTAGATGGGATTTGGAGGCGGCCGGGGGGTATGGACTGGTTGGGCTCCAAAAAAACGGTCAGGAGAAGGAGATGGAGCCAAATCCACTCAAAATCTGTCCTTGGACCCCTATTAGGGGAAACAGCCCCCTGAGGCCGAAAGGCAGAAAACGTTCCCGAACCCAGAGTCTCGCTCGAACCCCCTGGTGGCAGGGGCCAGTGTGGGGCCGCGTCGGACCCCCAGACGGCTCCAGGATGAGGTTCGGCGCGTAGACAAAAGATGGGATGCTAGACCTGATGAGCCCAGAAATCTGCGGCACAACCCCGCAAGAGCGAGGCGTCCTCGGGCTGCGCCTCTTCGGCCGGCGACGCGGTCGCCACCTCGCCCTGCTCCACTGCCTCTGGAGGAGAATGCAGCTCTGAAGCACGGAAAGCAGAACCAGACCACGCCAACCAGACCACGCTGCGCATAGAGGACCAGGGAACCAAAAACAAAAACAAAAACAAAAAAAGAGCCCTGCTCAGATGTTTCGAATCGGCGCTGGGCCCTCTTCGCCGGCGCCTCCAGCGCGGCCCCTGGCGCGTTCCGCACGCCAAAGGGGGGTGCAGGACAGTTCCAAGAAATCCGCGCGGACCGTCTGAAGAGTTTTTGATTCTGCCACGTCTTCACATTCGAAAGCCAGACCACGCCGTGCATGCGAAGCGGCACGAAGAAATGCTGCAGCCCGCGCCACTGATTTTGCAAGCGGGCGCCCACGCATTCGTCCACAACGCAATTACCCAGGGGCGTCCCCGACCCAACCAACACGGTTAGCAGCATCGCATCCACGGGAGAGGGAAGTAACCCCGTGGCCTTAACCTGAGCACTCGCACTGGCCCATGCATAAGCCTTGGTAGATTCCCAGGCTAAGCATGGAAAACGACTAAGGGAGGCATGAGCAATGGCTGAACGCCTGGCAGCGGGGAAGCTAGGTCCGAAACGGCCCCGACGCCTCAATTGACCCCTCAACGGACGCGCGAAAACGGCGAGTAAGACCTGAAGCGCCCTGCGTGGCTCACCGCCCCGGCGGGTCTCCCGCGGCAACGACGGCTGCACGCCCCGCAGCACCCAGGAAAAGCGACGTCTGAAAGGGTGCACGTGGTCATTTGCCAACCCCGCTGGCACCCAAGGGGCTCAGGAGAGCAACGAGGGCTGCACGCCTCGCAGCAGCCACGAGGGGTAAGGCATCAAAAGACTCGCGCGGCACACCACACCACCCCGCTGAACACCCCAGAGACGAAGGAAGGCAGCGACGACTACACGCCTGGCAGCATCAAGAGCAACGAGAGGAGAAGGGAGCCTTCCAGGTCCATCGTCAAGACCTCCGCCGCGAAGGCCTTCAAGGACCAGTTCTGACGGCGCCACTGTGGGTGCGGCTCCTGCCTGCGAGCTGTTGTGGGAGAAGCCGCGAGGAGGAGATCCTGGTGAACGCAAGGGCCGCGCACAGTTCCCGCGCAGCTAGGACCTCGGCGGAACCATCGCCCGCCGTGGAGGCCACGCGACGGCCACGCCACGACACAGCGATACGCCACGACACTGCGACAACGCCAAGCTGCCACACCACGACACTCCCACGACAGTCTCTGGCACCCCACAAGACCCCACGAGACCCCAACGAGACCCCCACGAGACCCCAAGACACCCCACAATATCCCCACGACGCCAGACATGTCTTTTTCCCTCCACAGCAAGGGGAAGAGGAATACTTATTCCCGCGATCCACAGTCACAACCTGGAAAACTCGCGCGCTGCTTCGCACGCACGTCACGAACGGTACGGGCACAAATACCGATGCCCTGGTGAGGGCGACTTCAGAGAAGCTTCCACACCGATAACACCAAAGTTTAGGATCAAATTATGTGTGCTGCGTTCTGCTTCCGGAGCTAAAATGGCCTCAGACGACCGAAGTGAGGGCCTGAAGATGAACCACCCTGCATGCATGTCGATGCTGTGCTGGCACGGTGGTGAGCGCTTATCGGAGGTAGATGAACCATCCATTTCACAGGCAAGTGAGATGGTGTGTCTCATCTTGCGAAGCAGTACTCGGGGCCCCGACGCATCTCCGGTCGAGCTGGCGAGGCCTCACGTCCAGCGAGACCAGCCTGGTCCCACGAACCCCTCCTGGCGGCCCCAGCGCATCGAGCCCGGCCCGGACCCAGCGCCTGCGCCTGTTGGCCCGAATCCCTGCGCCTGTTGCCCTCGGAACCAGAGAGCGCTCGGCGCGGAGGAACGCGGCAGCGCCACGGGCTCTGCTGTACACGCAGGGGGCCCTGCAGGCGAGACCCCAGCGGTGTGCCCGCGTCGGCGGCACGGATGCGACAGCTCTCCGAGCGGGCCCCGCCCGCGCAGCCGCAGGACGCCAGCCCGAGCCCCGCGCCAGCATATCCGACCGCGCGCCGGGGAACTGCGCGAGGGGGGCCCTCCCGCACGCCGCCCGCCGCGCCTCCAGTCCCGGCCCCCCGGACTGATGCCATCAGCCCTCTGGGCGGAGGCGGTCTGGAACGCCTCCTCTTGCAACCCCCGTCTTTTCCCCTTCGGGGAGGTGCTTCCACTGTTGGCTATCGATGTACACCGCCTCCCCCACCTGACCAGGGACTAAACCAGAACCATGACGACCCCCCAAACACCGCCCCTGTCAAGGAAAGATAACAAAACACAATGTGTGTTGCATGTGTATAAATGATAGATGTGTGTAACCGATCGATGATGACGCATGTGTGTTTTGACACGTGCGAGGGACATGCCAGTAGATTGACTCCTACGCACAGGCCGATCATCCCGTTGCGGCGAGATCATGATCATGCGCGGGCGGCCCGCGATCAATTTGCATTGGTATATGACAGGGAGGATGGGGGTGCCCTGGTACGCGCAGCGGCGCACTTGGCTGGCGCATGCATTGGTTACCGATGATTATCGATGGGGGCCCCTGCCCATGCTGACAGTGAGATACAGCTTGTGTGGTGGGAGGGCGGGTGGAAGTGAGCGAGACGGCCGTACTTCGGGGGGGCGCAGTTGAACTACTCCCCCATACCCTTTCTGGGTCTACATGGGGATGTGCACGAGCGGTCAGAGCGTCCAAGATGGCCCAAGATTCCTCTAAGACGGTAATAGATAGCCCGAGGAGGCCTCTAAGATTGTGCAAACCAGCGCAAAATGGCTTACGATGAGATGTACCACGTCCCCAAGGGGACCCAAGAAAGAGACTCCCAAGGACGCCTGCCCCCAAGAGGCACAACAACAAAAACGTCCCAAAACTTGTGGAAAGTCCATTAGTCCTGCATTATCGCATGTTCGCTTAGGATGAGCTTTCGAGGCCTCAAGGTGTGGCTCCAAGGTCGTCCAAAAAACCCAACAGGGGCCCATAAGAGGCCCAAGGAGGCTCAAGGCGGCCCCAATAAGGGGCCCATCTCTGGAGCTCGAGAAAGGCGACGCTAATCGGCGCCGCCACCGTTCTTCTCAACGGCAGGGCCCGAAGAGAGCAAGATGGCTCTGAGAGACCCCATGAGGTCCGTAAGTTCACCATTGACGACATCTTGGTCTCGCTACATGCCTATCAAGTATCCTTCTCCTGACAGCTCGCCTGGGCCTCTTTTCTGGATGGGCTGGCGAGGCTACGCGAAGCGTCACGAATCAGTATCAGGGCAAGCAAGAAGCACTTGCTGTAAGAACACATGGCTGCTCATAGTCTCAAACGTCCTTCGCCATGGCGTAGCATTCACTCCTGGCACTGCAACTTCCACTAACAGAAGCGGCATCGACGCGGAAGAACTGACACAGCAGCTGCACAGAACACGATCCCTCCTGCCTCTCTCATCCTCCTCCCTCGTCAAACCTCTCTCCTCCAACCTCCCACCCTTTGCGCTCCCATCTTCCCTCTTCTCTCTCCTCCTCATCCTCATCCTCCTCCTCCTCCTCCTCCTCCTCCTCTCCTCCTCCTCCTCCCCTCCTCCTCCCTCCTCCTCCTCCTCTCCTCTCCTCTCCTCCTCCTCCTCCTCCTCCTCTCCTCCCCCTCCTCCTCCTCCTCCTCCTCCTCCTCCTCCTCCTCTCCTCCTCCTCCTCTCCTCCTCCTCCTCCTCCCTCCTCCCTCCTCCTCCTCCTCCTCCCTCCTCCTCCTCCTCCTCCTCCTCCTCCTCCTCCTCCTCCTCCTCTATCTTGACATTCTCGAGTAGCCGCCTGGAGGGCCTTGCGGGTACAACGGGCAGGAGCTCGCACCAGCAGACCCTGCCCGCCTGAGCTCTCTAAGCAGAGCAAAGAAGATTACAATCGCAGATCTCGGACGATCGCTGGTCTCCTCCGCACCGCCACGGCTCACAGAATGAGGCTGGAACTCAAAGATGGAACACTGCCAGGACTTCGAGAAAAGCCAGAAGGATCTTCCTCGAGAGAGCATGACCTCCGATAACAGCCAAGAGCCTGTCAGAATCCAACATAAGATTCTGAGAAGCCGACGTCCGCACCCCCTCCCCTTTCGAGGGAGAGTGGGAAGATCTACGCACGGGACCTGCAGTGACAAAGATCTCGCGACAGGGAAGAGGGGAGGCGGTATGAGGAAGAGGAGTGATGGAGGGGAGGGGGCGAGGGCGTCCATCGGTTTGTACTTGACTCCGTTTCTGTCGGAGTGGCACATCGAGCTCCCCGCTCCCCCCCCCCAAAAAAAAAAACATGCGGAGGAAGGAAGTTGAGGCGGCTGGGTGGTCTGAACTGGATGGGGCCCCGGAGAATCGATCAAGAGGGGAGGATGGGGCCCAATCCGCTCACAATCGGTCCCTGGACCCCTCCCCGGGCCCTCCCCAGGACCTCTCCCCGGGGCCCTCCCTGGGCCCACCTGCTGCAATTTTTCTCCCTGGACCCGTTGTTGACGGCCCCGGGGCCCAAAAACGGCCCCGCGGCGAAAAAGGTAACAAAGCTTTCCCGACTCGAAGGCCCCCCCCCCCTCCTTCCTGCTTGCCAGAACCAGCGCTGGACGACTCGGACCGCCAGCTGGCTCCAACAAGGAAGTACACTGGGACGCACACGGACATACCAGTGCTGTGTGTCCTCCTTAGAGGCGTGCGTCGGCCCCGAAGATACAATACGAAAATCCGCCGACCCTGTGTCGGCGTGTGGAAGGGGCTTTTCGCCCTGCCCCCTCTGAGGCTTTCCTGTCTGCCCCCTCTTCGTCGTCGTCGTCGTCGTCGCTCCTTCCCCTTTCCCAGGCCTCCCCCTCAAGTGGCGAAGCAAAAGGAAATTGAGCAATGTCGTGATCACAAAATTGAGCCACGTCGTCATTGAGTCGAAAGGAAGCCCCTTCCCTTCCATCCCTTCCCCGTCGGGGAGGGGGGGGTCCCGGGGGCGGGGGGGGTCCGGGGGGGGGGGGGGACCCGGGGAAGTCCCAGGGGGGTCCCCGGTCAGATACGACGCCCCCCCCAGGAATCCCGCGGCCCAACAAAGCCCCAGGACGAGCCAAGAATGTCCCAAGATACCCTCACGAAACCACGTCCTTTCTCCGTCAACATCTGCGGGCACCACTACCACCCCCGAGTCTACCCCCCTCCGTGACCCCCCCCCCCTCCCCTGAACCTCTGCCGCCACCTCCTCCTCCTCACCATCCTCCTCATCCTCCTCCTCCTCCTCATGCGGCTCCTCCCCCTGCTCGTCCTACTTCTCCTCATTCTACCTCGTCGTGGTCAGCGTCCTCATCTTCAGGGTCGGCGGCACCGGCCGTAAGGCCTTCGCAATATTGCAGCATCTGCGCTCCCCAGCGGCACCGCCCGTAAGCGCCCGCCACGGAGCACCCACTGTGAGATTCCTCGGCACGCGCGTCGGCCCCTTGGGGCGCGCGCGTCGCCCCCTCTGGGGGCAGCGCACACCGAATCTTAGCGTGTCGGGGTGGCGCCGATGCACCCTCGTGCCGCGTGGCGCGGAGCATCGGCGGCGAGGGTGGGGGCGAATAGAAAATTAGACCCCGGGGGGGGGGGGAGCAGTACTTTTTGATCTGCGGCTCCAAGGAAGATTCCAGAGAGCGGGTCGAAGGGGGGGAGCAGTGCGCGCATCCTGGGGCGCCGATGGCCCAAAGCTGCGGCGAGGCCTCCAAAATGCCGGGCAGGCGAGCGGCGCCCGGGCGCGCGGCAGGCGCGCCCGGGGGCAGAGCAACGCGCCCGCGCGAGGCGGGGCGCCCCCGAGGCGGCGGGCCCGCGAAGGGCGCGGGGCGGGGAGCCGGAAGCGGGGGAGCCGGGCCGGCGCGGGGCTGTGCTGAGCTGCCCGAGGGGGCAGGCCATGGCGAGGTCCGCGCGGGCCCCGGAACCCGTAGAGAGAGCAGAGAACAGAGGGCAGCACCCCACCGACGGCCCCACGGGCCGCAGCGGATGCCAGGACGTCTGGCGTGGGTGTTTGCACGGTGTGCGCTGCGGCCCCCGAGGGGCCGTCGCGCACCATGGAGGGCCGGAGGTGGGGTGGTGTCGTCTGCTTTTGGCCAGCTGCATGCCTGTGTGGGCCCGTTCCCCGACAAAGTCTGACTTGACCAGTCAGCCGTAGAACTTCCGACTGGCTTCACTTGGCTCAAGGAGTCTGATGGCTCAAGGTGCTGGCTCGAGTAGCAGAGACTAGCCTCCTCAGGGGAGCTATAAGGGAGCTGTCAGCGACTATTTCCTTGCGCGGAAAGCTCTGCCAAGCTACCATACGTGATCAAGACTGCAATTCTCAAGCCAACAGCATTTCTGCTTGGTCGGCTGGAAATGGCAAATCGTGAGAAACGGATGGGTGGCGCGAGCGGTTCGACACCAGAGCGACGTCGATCCAGGCGCGAGCAGGGTGCACTCGTGGACGCAGGGGCGGAAGCTTCCGAGATGGAGTCCCGCCTCGACACGATCAATGACGACGATGCTCCCAAGTGGTTGAAGACCTTCGAGGGCAGACAGAATCACAAGTTCAAGAAGATTTTGGGCAAGTCTGGCAATCACAAGCACGAGTACCAGGGCAAGCTGATCTATTGCAATGTCGACTCCAAGTACCAGGACAGAAATACAGAGGAGGCGAGGAGAGAGAAGGTAGTGAGGAAGGTAGTTGGGACTATCATCGAGCCGAACGGCGGGGACGGCGACTCCATCAAACAGGAAATCGATACGAATTACAGGAAGGGCATTGCTTGGTGAAGGAGAGGCGAGCAGCGGTGTGGGGGGACGGCCGCATGACACTCCTAGAAGAAGTGGCAGCGTACCAGGAGAAGTACGATTTGCTGCACGGCGGGGCATTGGAGAGATCACGGGGAGGGGGCCGTGGGATGTACGGGGAGGCTTGCAGTGACGTGCCGGTTACGCTGCTTCGGCGAAAAGGGGTGGTGAAGTTGGTGTTTACGGCGCCGGCTGCTTCCTCTGGCCCCGTGCATGGCGGTAGTCAGCTGGAATACAAGTGGGATGGAGGAGGGAAGGATTCTGGATATTGAAGCCGCTCTGGACGAAGGTCCACGTTGGGACCTGTTGCTCTTCCAGGAGGGTCTGAAAATGGATAGCCCAGCAAGAAGCTTTTGGACTCTGGCCATCTGTGGTGTTTTTCACAGTCGGGGAGCAACAAGCGAAGTGTGGTATTTGGTACACGGACGGAGGGTACGGGCAGGGGCGCACATTCGTTTCACAGTTTCTGGTTCTATTTTGGCGCAGTTGAGCTTTAGCATTTCAAGGCACGACTTTTGTTTTATCACGTCGCATCTGTGTCACGCGGAACACCTAGATGAGGAGTACGATGCAGGACTGTTGGACATTGAGAAGGTGGTGAACCGGGCGCGGAAAGAAAAGCGCCTTGTGGTCGTGGTCTCCGACACGAACGCAGTTCTAGGTCAGCGTATTTTCTCTGACGATCCTGATGTCATTGGCCAGCATGGCATGGGGGCTGCCGGAGACACCGCGCTGAAGCCCACGCAGGAGCACAACCCATCCATCCAGAGCTTACTAAAGGCGCGGCGGGAGGCACGAGATCCAGAGAGCCGCAGATCAATATCCGAAGAGCCGCGGCGGGAACTTCGGAAAGAAAGACGAGTGCAACAATCGCGAGAAATCATAGAGATTGCTGAACACGGACAGGGTGTGAAAGCCTTACAGCGAAGGCGACAACGGCATGCTGGCATCGACCGGGTTGGGGCAGTTGTTGGGGCAGCAGGCCAAGAGGTGACGCAGGAAAAAGGGCATCGCCGAAGCATTTGCTCGTTTCTGCGACGACCTGTACAACGCGGGCGGCCTCGGCGACAACGCGCGCCCAGAAGAACAGCATATGTCACACTTGGTGCCGCTAGTGTCTTGCAACGAGAAGTTTCCACCGCCCTCAAGCGCATGAAGATCGGGCGAACTGGGGCAGCAGACGGTCTAGTTACCGAGATGCTGCGAAAAGGCAATGATGGACTGATTTGCGCTCTTGCGGAATACTTCGCAGACCTCGTTCAAGGTAAAATGAATCTGCCTGCGGACTGGGGCACAGCACGCTGATCATTCATATTCAAAAAGGGTGACAGGACAAATGTGGCAAACTACAGACCAATCTCGATCATCCTGGTGATGGGTAAACTTCTCAGTATCATCTTGCATATGCGGTTGCAGAAGGCAATTGAGGCTTACTTCAGAGGAGCAATACGGCTTCCGCAGGGGCATAGGTTGACGACGCTTTGCACGTTCCCCAGTTGGTCGCAGAGAAGTCGGCCGAGTGGGGAAAGGAGCTCTGGGTGGCCGCGCTGGACGTGGAGATGGTTTTTAATAGAGTTACCCGCGATGAACTGTTCCTGGCCCTGACCAGCATGGGGGCGGACATCAGCATAGTGAGCATCTTGTGAAAGTAGTACAGAGGGATGACCGCGCATGTGAAGCTGGCCTCCAGGGTCGAAAGTAAACGGTTCGACGTGCTGAGAGGTGTGCGACAAGGAGACCCCTTGTCACCAGTGCTGTTCAATATGATGATGGTGAACCTTCTGCGCGAGGTGAAGGTGGTCTGGCAGGGGCACAAGTACTCCACCCTGGTTGGGCAGTCAGCGCTTGGTGCTTGTCTCACGCACGTAGCTTTTGCTGCTAGCACAAGGTTGCTGGCTAGGTCGTGGCTCTCGGTAAAGCGCATGGTGATCATGCTTCGGGATGCCTTAGCGAAGCGTGGGCTGAGGCTACACCCAACGAAGTGCAAAGTGCAGACAAACCGAACTGCCGGAGTGGTGTGAGGAGACATTGTTCTAGATGAAGGTTTTTCTGTCCACGTGCTGCCAGAGTGGGAAAACTAA